CAGCCCCAGCTCTTAGGAGCGGCCGGGCTTGGTGTGGTGGGGAAAGGCCTGGCTGGGGTCCTAGACGTTCTCCCCCAGGTCTCGCCCTGTTCCCTGGAAAGGAGGGGAAGCCGCAGGCGTGCCTCGTTTGGACTGGGCCTTGCCCTTTGCCTGCTGCCTAGCTGCTCTGTTCCAGCAGGGGCAGGGATCCCTGAGCTGCCTTGTGGTGCCAGGAAGCACCTGGTGTTTGGGCAGGAGGGGAGGTGGGATCAGCTGGGCCTGGCTAGGACTTGGGGGACACTTTTTTCTTTTTCCCCTGCTCCTCAGTATGTAAATATCCTTCCATCCCCACCCCCATCCTGTTGCTGGCAATGGGACAAAGCACAACCACTGAGGAGCCCTAGAGCTGCCCTGCCTCTGTGCCCAGCGCTGAGTGCGGCTCTTCCTGGAGAGAACTCCTCCCCCCAGGGCTGTTCCGCAGGGGGCTGCACTTTCTCTGGCCCGCAGCACAGGGATGTGCTGCCTCCAAGGGCAACCCGCAGGGGGCGCCACCCCCATCCTGTTGCTGGCAATGGGACAAAGCACAACCACTGAGGAGCCCTAGAGCTGCCCTGCCTCTGTGCCCAGCGCTGAGTGCGGCTCTTCCTGGAGAGAACTCCTCCCCCCAGGGCTGTTCCGCAGGGGGCTGCACTTTCTCTGGCCCGCAGCACAGGGATGTGCTGCCTCCAAGGGCAACCCGCAGGGGGCGCCTTGCAGAAGGCTCCTCCCCTGCTGTTCCTTGCCCCGCCGTTGAGCTGGAACTGAAGCACAAGGGGCACCCCCCGTTTTTCGCTGGCGACAGACGCTCCCGCGGTGCCACTGTTACAGCCAGCGTGGTGCAGCCGGGGCAAGAGACAGGGCAGCCTCTGCCCACAGCCCCCCCCAAGCAGGGCTTGGTATCTCCCTGTCCATGGCACCCGAGCAGGCCCAGCACTGCCCTGCTGTAACCATGGCCGGCCGGCTCCTCTGCCGCCAGCCCCGGCATCGCTTTGCTGTCTGTATTATTTTTAGTAGCAAACTGCTGGCAGGCCGGGGTTTGGGCCGGTAGCTGTGTAACCGCTCAGGCCACAGTGCTTGCTTGTCCCGTGCCGCTAGCCGGATCCAGCACCCTGTTCCGTATACACACCCAACCCTTTTAACTTTTTTAACCATGCATGTTGATATACGTTTATTACTCTCGTCAATATCGTCACGGAACCAACTCCCAGCAGAGGCCAAGGCTCCCGGGTGCTCTATTCAAACCCGGCTCCTGCAGCCACCCAAGCTTCCTGGGTGTGCAGCCAGTCGCCTCCAAGGGCCCGATCCGCTCCTGCTTCTGCTAAGCCACCAGGAGTAGGGACCAGCCCTTGGGGTGGGAGCTGCAGGGCGGGCGCCATTCCCCTGCCTGTCCCGCCAGACCTGTGCTAAGACCTGGTTCGTATTTTTGAGGTTGTAGCTTCTAACTGTCTCCTTTCAAATCCGTGGCCTGGCCGGGTTGGGGCTTTGGCATGGTCCAGCGAACATTCAGTTGGATTGAATGAGTCTTTTTAGTTGGGGCAATTTTAATAGAACTTTTGTTATGGTTCCTCCTGGGTTTAGGAGGGAACCCCCACAAATCTTGACTTGTAATCTCTGAATAAAAGTATTAAATGTTTCCTTTCTAAAGCCTGTGCCTTCTTTCACGGGGAGGCCAGGGGCTCCTCCCCTGACAGCCGTGGAAGGAGCAAACTGCGCCAGGGGTAGGGCGGCTGGAAAGGGACTATGGAAACCATCTCCTGTATTACTCAGCAGGGGTGGTGAGTGTCATTGCGGGGGAAGGGCAAACCACCAGAACGCCCACTGTAACTGTACTGGAGGAAGACGGTTGCTGCTCCCCATGCTTGGAGGCTGGGGCTGTGCACCCTCAAGGTGCTGGTTCCAGCAGGGGAAAGGGTAGAACCACATGTTGCCCCACCTCCCTGTGGTGCTGGGGGCGGGGCCTGTTCCCCCAGCCCTACCATCCTCCCCGCCCATGTCACTCATGCAAACCCTGATTCCTTGGCCAGCAGCCACAATGTCGGCTCATGAGTTATTGTCATTGTCTCCTACTGTGGGGGCGTTGCTTGGCCCCGGGGGAGGGGAATATCCCCAAAGGAGTGGACCATCCAGACTGACCCTTCTCCCCGCCCCTCTCAGCTGGTGGGGCAGGGAAAGCACCGGACTAGGGGAAGCTTCCCGCACCTGGATGTGCAGCTGTTGAACCCTCCTGGGATGGCTTGTTCCAGGAGAGAACAGACGAGGCCCCTGGCTTTGACTCCAGCTGCTGCCCTTCCCTGGAGGTGGGGGAAGGGATTCGTCATCCCTCACTCTCAGCCCAGGGCCCTCCCTGCAGCCCTCCTGGGTTTCCTCCAAGCCCATTTCTCCCTCCTAAGGGAGGGGGCACGGTGCCCGCCTAAGCCACAGACCCGGAGCTGCTCTCTCACCACCAAGTCTTTTAATCAGAACTAGCACTTCCACAGATCACTTGACAGCTGGAGAGAGGCCGCCGCCCCCCCGTTCCCACCTACACGCTACACAACGAAATCGAATGACGGGAGTGACGCTTGCGTCACCAGCCCCCGGACCCACCCGCAGGCGCGGCAGAGCCGAAA